CTGGTGGAGCCCGCGCGGGGGCAGCACAGGACGCCGATAGGAAGAGGGGGCCGCGGAAGACCCGGTTAATCACCAGAAACGCCACACAAAAGTTATCAGCTAATCTACGTGAGTTTATGTCTCCGAAGAATACATAAAGTTAACGATAACCCTATTTATTACAGCTTTCAAGAAGGTTACAAGTACAATAGCATAAAAGTCTCAAGACTGCAGTAGTTTAAAAACTGCTCTCAGTTCTTTTATCAAATAAGCGTCGTGATAAGGGAGCTATTTTACAGAGAGTAAGCAGCAGCGCGCAGTCTTAGTTCCAAGAAAGAGAAACATAATACAAAGTCAAAATAAACCTCAGCTATCAACGGCCACCACTACTCTTCACGTATTACTTTGTCCATAAGACACAGAAATCAAAACCTATTAGACTGACTGCTTCCGCCGAAGGGAATTGTGCCAAATTTTCCATTAATAGAAAAGTCAGTAGTAGAACAACTTTCTTCAAAGAAAGAACACCACCAGCCATTCATATTGCATTCTAGGATGTAGTGATATTAACGTTACACTGGAAGGACAAGTTCTCCAGGATTTAAAAACAAAAAAATTTGATTTGTAAAGTATAGTTCATTATATCCATTGTGCCTTTGAAACATTTATGTTGCAGGGATCTTTGGCAATCCAAATTCATCCACCAATACACCATCCTGCAGGAAAGAAAAAGCAGCAACAGGTTAACAACTCTCCACCAACCGGAACATTCCACAAAAGTTTCTTTATAATTTCTATAAAGTGATATGTCACTGGGATCCAAAATAAGAGCATCAGTGTTCTTCCTCACTATGAAGTTCCAAAACCAAACATACATAAGACTTTTTTTTTTTTTTTTTTTTTTAAGAATAACTATACTAGGAGCTGTAATGGTACACTTGAATTCTACTTGCAGTCTGATGATGTTAGATAGGAGTTACAAAATACCATTTTAGCTCTTTATAATAAAGAGCATCCAGTACACTGTATTCTCTCATATATAGCATCCAAACTACCTAAAACATGTTTTTTTGGTCAGAATACTAAGGATTCCAAATACCAAGAAACCAACATAAATGTGATTAATAAGAAAAATACTATGTATTTTGCTTTTAAAGAGGAA